CATTCCGAATATTGCACGGGCTCAATAATATCCGCTTTCTGTAGGCGATCCAGCTCTTCTTCGACCTTCGGTGCGAGTGCATAGGGGACTGTACGAGCTTTGAAGAACCGGGGCCGGAAATCTGACTGAAACTGGAACTTAACAGGTGGACCGCGGTAGTGGGTAGTAGAATCGTCACGAAATAGATCCTTATGATTTACCCAAAATTGAATCTAAAGCCGGATTTACACCAATCCGATGTACATAGGATAGCACAGAAGGCACACATTTAATCCAATTTCGTCCAAGGAGATTCGGTTGCTGGCTTCCTTTCACCACATGAACCGGCAAATAATGAAGTTCTCCATCATGTTCGACTTCGGCTGTAAAGACCCCTCAAACCTCTACGTTCTGTCCATTGTAACTGCTGAATGTTGAGCTGGCCGGTAGGAGGGAGGGTACTTTCTGAAGAGAGGTCTCATTGATGAGAGTAACAGCTGAGCCATTGTCGATTTCAAAATTCACGGGATGGTGATCAACCGGAAGCGTGATGGTGTAGGGGGATTGGAGAGTAGCGTTGGCCGGAAACATTCGGAGTATCGCCTCACCATCCCCAGCTGGACTAGGGTAGGTCGCATGCGTGTTACTATTCGCTCGTCTTTTGGAGAAACACACTCGTTCGATGTGGCCGACTTTCTTGCAAAACTGGCATACCGTCTTCTGGTGTCTACAGTCTGACCACCGGATATGATGCTGACCACAACGGTAGCATGATGGTAGTTGTTTTGAGGGAGCTGAGGGTCGCTGTCTAGGTGAAGACACAGCAGTGTTGACCAGGGAGACAGCCATTTCCGATTCCAAGGATGCTATCACTTCATCGTTTGACTGATTCAGCTGCTGAAGGTTTTGTCGCACGCGCTCCTGATGACTGGCAATATCACAGGCTTTCTCCCATGACAAATCCTTCTTCTCTGATAAGAGATTTTCCCGAGCTTTTTCATCGCGTAGACCGACGATCAACTGCTGAACGAGCATTGTGTGCTCGAAGTTGTCTGCCTTGATCTATTTATACCCACAGTCCTGAATGGCCAGAGTCAGATTAGTAATAAAATCACTGACACATTGATTGGATTCTTGACGCATTTGACAAAACCGATAGCGACTGAGAAAGACGTTGTCCTTTCCTCCCCACGCTGACTCGAGTTTTGAGAAGGCTGTTAGGAGATCTGTAGCCTTTCGTAGATTGAGGGCATCGAAATATCGTTGTCCCAACTCTCCGAGACTCGTCCGGAGGAGTTTCAACTTAGATGGGACGTCTAGTACAATCGTGGGTGACAAAATCGGGAGTAATTCAATATAATCCTCAAATGTCTTCCTCCACTGCAACCACGAGTCATTTGAGGGCTTCGGGGTGTTCTTTGGCCAAAAAGGTAGCGGTGTAGGCAGCAATGAAGAGATGTTCGTTAGACTGCGTCGCCAATGTTATGTATGCAAAACAGAAGGCTAATTGGAAATAGGACGTGTACTGAGTACGATAGACAGCACATGTGAGGAGACTTGTGGAAACGGCCGGGTATATGGCAAGGGGGACTGTCATAGGCTGATGGGTGGCCAATCAGCACAAAGACGGTGTGAACAGGGGGCCATGACCTTGATCGTTCGCTTGTCACGCGTTTGTGGCATGATGTCCTGACGGCCCGGGCAGGATACGCTGCAAATAGGTCCTTTAGTCCTTTATGTGATTATTTTTAGTGTTGCATTCTTCACTTCCCGTTTACTGTATCTTCGTAATTTTCCTGCTTTAACAAAAATGCCTGCCCTTGATTTATGACGTAAAGTTCAAGTGTACTCCAGTACCGCAGACGTTTCTGGAGCATTTATAATTTTGGTTGCAGAGAATTTGTGAGGCCGGGGGAAATTAATAGAAGAAGAAGAAGGTCCAGAAAAAGAAGAAGAATAGTATAAGGCGATTCTGGAGCAGGCTTTTATCACTTCCAAATTTCAAACTCACGCGAGTCTTTGCACAGGGAATGAAGGAAATTACAACACACGACAGTTCGTCCGTCGATTTCGACGATGACCACCGTGTGCCCCACAGACTGCATTGTGGGAGCAGGGACGGTGACT